ACATTACCATAAAGCGGTGCACAATTCTAAATCCGTCAACCCTTTTGCCAACAGAAGACGAGGGCACTCCTCATGAGTGTAGAGAACACGTTGAGAAGGAGTGTAAGCCGAGGGATGACTTAACGGATGTGCCGCTAAGTGAGGGAAAGGTTTGGTTTGTTGATGGTTCAAGTTTTAAAACAGCAGAGGGACAGGCTAAAACAGGTTTTGCTGTAGTAGATAGTGAGAAAGTTATTTGTGCAGGACAACTAACATGTTCTATGTCTGCTCAAGCAGCAGAGATAGTAGCTTTAACGGAAGCGTGTAAAGCTGCAGAGAAACAAGATGTGACAATATACACTGATAGTCAGTATGCATTCGCTACATTACATTTCTTTGCAGCACAGTGGGCAAGACGAGGTATGACAACCTCAACAGGGAAACCTGTAGAACACGCCAAACTCTTGCAAAATCTGCTGGACGCAGTGTTGTTACCCAGTAGAATTGCCGTTTGTAAATGTGCAGCACATACCCGAGGGAAAGATCCAGTTGCATTAGGGAATGCTTTCGCAGATAAGATCGCAAAAGAGGCAGCTTTAGGAGAACATGGTGTTCATATTTTAGCGGTGCAACACCAGCAGACGTTGCCTATTACACCAGATGTATTAGCAGACATGCAGGCACACTCACCTGCTGCAGAAAAACAGTTGTGGCTCACTAAAGGAGCGAGCTTGCAGGATGGTGTTTATTATCTGTGTAATAAACCAATACTGCCTAAGAATTTGTATAAGACTGCTGCTATTTTGAGTCATGGGCTTTGCCATGTCTCCACAGGGGGGATGATGGCAGCAGTAGAGCAACATTTTTATACTCTAGGATTTAATACCTTTTCAAAAAATTTTTGTAGGTCATGTATGATATGTTGCAAGCACAATTCCCAGGGTAATTTGAGACCTAAGAGAGGGAAATTCCCTAGACCCAGTCACCCATTTCAAGTTATTCACATGGACTTTATAGAACTGTCCAACTGTAACAACTATAAATACTGTTTAGTGATAGTGTGCCCTTTTTCCAAAGTGGGTAGAAATTGTACCAACTAGAAAAGCAGATGCCATTTCGGTTGCCAAAGCAATATGTAAGAATATTATCCCAGAACATGGGATTCCAGAGACCATTTATAGTGATAATGGTCCACATTTTGTAAATGAAGTGATTGGATTAATGGCACAACATCTAGGGATAACATTAAAACATCATTGTTCATATCACCCACAAAGTGCAGGGTTGGTAGAGAGAACTAATGGAACAGTAAAGTTAAGACTTAGGAAGTCAATAGAAGAGACAGGCAGGACATGGTTAGACTGTGTAGAATTAGTTAAAGTGTACATGAGGATTACTCCAACAGAGAATGGTCTGACACCCTTTGAGATTATATATGGCAGACCATTTAGAGTTCCAGTTTTCTGTAGTGATGACAGAAAAGCAGAAGAGGAGAACACATTAGCAGATTGGATGCTTAAAATGTTTAAAAGTAAAGAAGTCATGAGAGCAAATGATCTGCCAGATGTTTCTGTTTCTCCGCAGGAGCAGAGCCTGAAGCCTGGAGATTGGGTGCTGATAAAGGCCATAAAGAGGAAGTGCTGGTCCAGTCCACGGTGGGAAGGTCCTTATCAGGTGCTGCTGACGACGCCCACAGCAGTGAAGATCGCTGAAAGGAACACTTGGATACATCAAGCGCACTGCAAGAAGGTAACACACTTCCTGGCCGACTCTGGGTGATGGTGAAAAGGCCAGCGGTACAAAGGGGGGAGTATATCTCTAGGACCTCTCGTCTCAATCCTGGTGAAGAAACCAACGGATCCTGAACCCAACTTAGAATGGCTGGGAATGTGCTGTTCGCCTTCTTGTGCCTGTGGACCCTGAGTGGGATGACAGGAGCGCATTGGGACAGAGCAAATCACACCCAGTACCCGCATGGGTTTTCAACCAACTACTGGTGGCAGTTTATGAACACAACCGCTCACATAAACAACAAGACCAATTGTTATGCTTGTGCACACATGCCACTGTCTACACATTCTTCTGGACTGTGGCCATATAGCATCACTGAGAGCGAGACAGTTTGTTTGCTTGCTTTAGCAACACATCCAGGAGTAAAACGTACTTGGAACACTGCCAACTTTTCAATTTCCCTGAACCTGAATGGGAAGATTGATTCACCTGTAGCTGGGAAGGTGAACTGCTCTGGTAAGACAGATCTGCTGACTTGGCCCCAAGTTCCTGATCCACTTCCGGACATCATACTGTTAAATAAACTGGAAGCAGGCCAGTTACCTATGTGTTTCAAGGGCAATGGGTCAGCCCAAGTTGGAGATTTGCCATGGCATCTATGCAACGTCACCTATTCTTTTTGCCCTCGTTTGAACAGAATTAGCTGTCTGACGTGTTTGAAGAATGCCAGATGTGCAAATGATGAGATTCAACGAGCAGCAGACTGTGCATTTGACACTTCGTACCAAATGACACTTACTGAAGGAAGACAGGATGTGGCCAAATGCTCAACAATCGCACCGACACCTAAGGGTACGAGGGTGTTAGCAGATTGGTATTTCTTATGTGGACATAAGGCTTACCCATCTTTACCAGCAAAATGGGGAGGTCTATGTGCACTTGTGAAATTATCTGATCATGTTTTCTTCATGGAGAGGATAGAACATCATCCAGGATCAAAAGACAAAGAGAGACGTACAGAGTGCAAGCACAAAGCTCACAGATTTAAGTGAGGTCCCCTGGGAGTTTCGAATATGGGGACCTGGAGCCAAATTCTTACAAGGATTGTTCCCGTGGATCGGGGTCGGGAAAGTTGGAACTCATGTAGAAATTAACAGGTATGCACTACTGAGACACATAAATTGGACCCAGACCCTTGGAACAGCCTTAGCAGAGGGGCAAAAGGCCATACGAACAATGGTTTTGCAAAACAGACTGGCTTTGGACTTGATAACTGCATCGCAAGGAGGAGTATGCAAATTGATAGGAGAAACATGTTGTACGTTCATACCAGATGGATATACAAGTGGAGGAGACATTTATGAAGCACTGCAGAATTTAACCACATTGCAGAAATACGTGATGAATAGCACGCCAGGAGTAGATGCACCACAAGGCTGGATGGCGTGGTTACTGTCTGGTCCTTGGTGGCATCTCCTTTTAAAAGTACTAACTCCTGTTTTTGGACTATTGATACTGATTTGCTTATGTATAGGATGCATTTTACCGTGTATAAGATCATTGCTAACTAAAATGATTTCTGATACATTTGTTAATTATGTACTCTTACAACAATATGAAATGACTGAAATTACTGACATAACAGAAGCCTGTGTATGAATGACGCCTGCACTGAAAATGTTAAGCAAGAGGTGCATGGCTGAGAATATACTACATAGGAATAATTTGTAACATAAAAATAACAAAACAGGAGGGAAATGTTAGATTAAATAGTTTAAACATTTGTCATTTTTATATTTACCATTTGTCCATTGTTTTTAACTCTGTGAAAGGAATTCTTTCTTTCCTCCCATCCCCAGATTCTCGAGGTTCTGGGTGGGAGGTTGAAGTGTTTTATCACAGGAACGTCCTTTTGAAGATCTGTTTGATGTTTGGCAGAGCTTCCTACCCTTTGTATGGTTTCACTGTGTTATCTTTGGTAAACCATACATTGGGTGTGGGGGAAGACTACCCTCTTTATGACCAAGGATGTTGTTCCTGCTTTTAGGTTTTATGACCCTTTGATCAACACACACACACACACACACATTCTCACATAACACCCACACACACACACTTACATACAGTGCCTTGTCTTTGTAACCAAAGGGGGTTGCAGGGGGAGGTGTTTTGTAAACTATTGTTTGAAGTTTGTCAATAAAAGGCAGCGAGAGGAGGCCATCATCGGGGTTCATTGTCGTGCTGGACACAGATGAGGGGGCCTCCCTTGCGCAAGAAATCGATCGAACACTGTTGCCTTGTTTTTCTTTCATGGGAATAAGTCTTGGATACAGCGGGGTCTGAGTTTAGACCCAACAGCAAGTTTCACAAGATTTAAGAGTTTAAGAATCTGCCAGGCTTTAAGTTACATACCTGAGCACTGCCATTTCCCACCGTCAGTGCTGCAAGATGGCCTCATGACCAATAAGGTTACAGCTGTGCATGTGATAATAAATGGTTCAATAATATTATTTGCCAGGTATTTGTGCATAAAAATACTCTGCAACATTAATTGTTCTTACAGTGAAGGCAGGAATAATCTAATGGCATAATAACTGCATTATTAGCTCTACTGACTGTTTACTAGCTTTTAATGCTCCTTTGACTGTGGCTTGTCCTTGAAAGAGGACAGACAAATGACTTGTCAAGGAAGTATTTGCAGATCACACCAAACTTTCACCCGAGACACTCAGATTTTATGCTTTTTGGATTTATTTTACTTATCTTTCCTCTTAGTTTCTTATTTATTTTGGATAATTTTAATATGAAAATGCGTTCCAGCCACTTTCTAGTTTCAATTTCACTTGCAAGTAAAAAATGCTGTAAACTTTAGTCACAGGGCTTCATGCAGGCTCTGTTTATTCACAGTTATGTTTACTGCAGTCTGAAGAGGCTATTTTAATTAATGCACATGAACAGGGTTAAAATAATATTTGAAAATCTGCTGTTGCCCATTTTTAAGTGATGTTTGATGCATTTTAATGTATGCATTAACTTATTCCTCTATCTCAACCTGCCTTTAGTTTTTGGGTCATTATGGTAATTAAAATGTTGTAATTAAACTTGTTTTAAAAGGTAATTTATTTCCACCTCATTTACTTTTACATAGCCCCTTTGACATGAGAGTGTCATCTTGAGATTATGAAAGAAATCAGTTGAATGTTGCACAGAGAGTTTTTTATGGAGGTTATTCAGGCACAAAAATCCCCCAGTTATTCGATCCCTGATCAAAGTCTGTTCCACTCACCAACCTTCATTGTGCTTCTCGCAGGACAGCCAGAAGCCAGTGTGGAAGTATCTCAGCATGTACTTGTCCTCTCCTGTCTCCCAGATGTAGTGGACAGCGTTGGCCAGCTGCTTTTTCCTTATCCTTTCCAGCTCCTCCTTCTGCTGAGGAGACAGCGTGACATTGGAGGCTGGGTTCCTGGGGTCTGGGGTGGGCACCTCTGGATGAAGAGGACAGGAGTTTTAGGGGGACAGAAACGGTATAAAAACATACCTTTTTGCTTGAAATGAGCAAACTTAAGTAATTAACAGAATCATTTGTGTTCTTGTTTTTTTCCAAGGAGCTTTTGCTCTAATAAGACTAGAGCTGCGGAAATATGAGAAAAGTATGCCAGCAAACAGTGCTGTAAATCCTGAAGTAGGTCTCCTTTGGGTCACAGTGTGTAACACAATCCAGCCCTGAAACCTTGTTCTCCGTGTTATCAGCCCTTGTTTTATGTAATAAAAATTAAATACTACACAGAGATAAAATTGGTTTAAAGCTGAATGATGGTAAAGTGGGTTAGCAAATCCAGACAACATGCAGCTGCTGCCATAAAGTGCTGAGATAAGCAACAAAGCCGGGATTATGTGAATCTCTGGCAATAAAGTCTAAAAATACTTCAAATGCTCCAACTGTCTGCTAGCTGTGAGTAAGTAGTGAATACAGCTTAGATTTGTTACATGCTCTTCTGAGTTGTCTTTAAACATCCATCAAAGCCAGTTAAGATGAGCAAGAAAACAGACGTTTTGAGGACTCTGCGCTTTGGCCCACATGTGGCCCAGAACTCATGAGATAGAGTTTGCATAGGTTATGGAGAAGGTCTGGTCATGACAACCTAAATTTCTACCCACATAAGGTGGTGGAGCCAGTGTCAGGATTGGCACACGGCACAGTAAGGAAGCTGGGAATACTGGAAAGGGGAGCACCCATTTCTAATGGGAGCACAGCAGACACCGTCAAATACTCAAATAGTTGTTTTCTTCTGAGTGAAGTGACCTGGAAACAGCAGTGTGGCAGGCACATAATAAGAGCTCTTTAAATTCTCTATGGAAAGGAGCTCGAATCCTTTATTATCTCCCTTAGCTCTGGCTCATCCTCCAAGAAACCAAAGGAGACAATGCTGTCCCATAATTCATAGTGACACTACATCAAACAATGAGCAAAACAGATGACACAGATTATGTAAATGTTAAAAGTGAGTTTAACCTTGTTTATGCAAAACTATAAACATTAGGTTGCTATGATAAATATCTGCATCTTAGCAAGTCGTTGCCTTCTGTAACGAACGTCGTGTGTGAATTTATGAGTTTGTATCAGTTGTCTTCTCAGTTTGTTGCTGTTCTGTTTTTAGGGTTATCATAAATCATTTTAATTTGGTCACAAATATAGAAATCCCTAATAGTAAAGGCCAGAGTTACACTGAATCATCTGTCCAACTGAAAAATAAAATATCAGTGGATGACAGCTTTTTATTGATTGTTTGGTTTTATATGACCGGCAGTAAAAGAACAAAGCACGAAGTATATACAGCAGCATATAGTTTCACCTCTTCAGACTAATGTCAGCAACATCCATCACATGATAAATAATTTTAGTGTATGTGCAGTCAGAGCCTGAGGATTTCCATCAAGATCAAAATTACAGAAATATTTTATTTTGGTTAATTTGTGGGCTATTTGATCACAGCTAATCCCAAAGTACGGAGAACTACAAAAAAGTAAAACTACCAACAGTGCAAAAAAAGCAAAAAATCTCAAAATGATGCATGAAATAAGAACAAAGTCCCTCAGCTACCCTAAAATTCATTTTTTTTAAGAAAACTGTGCAGATAGTTGTGTCATTACTTCCATTTTGAGATGATTAAACTGCATCTGCTGTTACCATCAGTGACTTCAGCTGTTGCCAAATTAACCAGGATCCTTGAAATCTTTGAAATGTCCAGAATAAGCACTGTGTGGCCCGTGTGTCTTACCTGTGGTGTATGGCTGGCTGTTGTTCTGCCCGCAGTTTTTCATCTTGACTGGCGACAGGCAGACCGGCTTCACCACCTTGTGTGTCCCTTCGCACCAATAAGAGGTGCAGAAAGCCCAGACGGACAGCGTGAGGGCCAGAGAGGTGAGGAACAGTGACAGCAGGGAGCGGTTACGTCTGGACATTTTCTCCAGCATGACTGTGTCTCAACTCAAAAGCAGCCAAATGAGAAATGAAATGGTTTTGGCAAGTGTGTGTCAAAAATAGCTGCAAGAGCCAGACAGGTTCTGGTGACCTGTCTGGAGCAGAAGATTGGGGAGCTTTCTGCAATAATACAATAGAGATTGAAAATAAAGTGGTAGGAAAGAGACAGAAGTGAGGAGAGGGGATTAGTGGTATTTGAGAAGTGGAACGAAGGACGGAGGGGAAGATAAAAAGTAGTCTGTTGGAGAGATAGAAGTAGGGCAGCGCTGGAGAAGGAGAGCTAGCGCTGAGCAAAGGTCAAATAACAGTGGAATAAAGAAAGATGAAGCTATGGGATTTAATCTTTTCCAGCAACAAGAGACAGATGTGCGGGCCAGAGGATGCAGGGGGAGCTCTAACTCTCCTCCTGCTGCAGTGTCACTTAAAGGAAATAAGCATGATGAAGAGAAGCAGGCCAGGTTTAAATTTGGGACCTTTGTTTCCGTTTGGAGACTTTGGTCACAAATTTAGCCCATGTTTCTACTGCAGTCACCGCTCGGGTCTCATATTAATATCTTCTCCCCTCTCAGATAAAGACAAACATCTAAATCTTATCCTGTGGATTTTGAGACTAATCGGTTCCACTCTCAGGGCACATCCCGTTCTTCAACCTGTTCCTCCACCTCAGTGAGAGGGATTGAACTCATGAAGAAGTGATTAGTCCAGCGTCTCAGGCCTACCTCGTGGCCTGGTAATCTGTGGTAATCTTGCGGGGTTAGGTGGATGAGTTTAATGCTTACTGACACTCATGCTGTCATTGTCTGAACGACCACCTAAGAGAGGGAAAAACAGATGATGGAGGCAAAGATCTGGGATTAGGAGTCATGAAGACAGAGTCACGTCTATGTCCAAGTAATTTGAGCTGCACTTAATCCTGCCAGGTGCCACATTTGTAAATTGGTTATATTTAATACAACGTATTAGACTCAAATCATTAAACTACAATCTGATGTAGCAATATAATTCTGGGATAGGGTCCACCCCCCTGTGATAATATAATATAATATAATATAATATGATTCCATCAGACCATATTGTATTGTATCATGTCCTATTGCAACACATCATACATTATAAGCACAAACGTATTGGGCCTGACCTCTTGATCACCAGTTCTTGTGTTCTCTCTGCTTGTACACAAGCAATTACTTAAAAAGATTCCACTGAAGTCTGAATGTGTGCAGATTTTGTAGTAAAAGCAATTAATTACAAATTACGATCAGTGTGTCAGAAACATACAGATCATTAAAGACGTCTAGAACATGAAAAGCACCATTTTTTAAATAAAAAAAAGTGTGTCTGTTTTCATATTTGAAATCATATTTCCCAGTATTTGACAGTTTTCTTTTCAAAATTTATTATCCACTAAATGTGAATTAAAGTGTTGATAACTATAAAAAATTAGGTATTTCCAATTTCCTATTTTAGATCAAGTTTGATGGGCATCACAGCAGGAGTTTCTCTGTGTACGCTATAAACACAGATTGATTGACGAGGCACTGAGGTTTAATTTCATCTTATCAAATCAGCGTGAGGCAAACCTATAATCCACACACTCCACAAATGCATGTACTGTTCTGCTGGATTATTTGGTACCACGCACCTGACCACGTCATCAGTATAAAAGTCTAAATGATGAAGACAAACTGCACAAAACCTGAAATTCAAAGATCCCTAGAAGGAGAGGGGCTGAGCTGAGAGTGCTACCGCTATTTATTTATTTATTTTTTAGATTTTCCACAGACATCACGATAAAATCATTGTCAGGTTTAACACAACAATGGTGACGATCCGATATGGTGACACCTTCCTCAAGACATTCATTTTTACTGACTCTGATCTCAGTCTTAGATTAGAAATGCTGGTTTTACTGAAGATGTCAGCGATAGAAAAACTGAATTAACACAGCTCGTTGAAGCATCACAGATTTCCATAAATACAAGTAAAAAAATATAGTTTCCCTGTTTGAGAGAGCTCTTTGTTTCATCTCATCAGTAAACGCTGAAATCCAGCTGCTGCCGATTGATCGGCTTACACTTGCAGAACATAATGAAAAAAAAATCTACTTACCTTTCCTTGGATCTCAGGAGAGGCTCTTTTTGTGTTTCCTTCACCTGTCTTCAAGCAGGGTTCCAGTTTCCTTCACCTTTCTTTTTCATGCTCCCTTATTACTCCCTCGTGCTTCTTTGGGTGAGTTTCCATCAGAAACCCACCCAGATTTCCCTCTAATCCTCCCAAGTCCATCTGTTACTTTCCCTCCCCTTTGCTCCCTGCAGTGTCTTTTCCTCCACTCTCACTCTCGCCTCGCCTGCCTTCCTCATCACGCCTCCTCTCTCAGTCATGGCCTTGCTGACCTGTCCTTCTATAGATTAATTTGTATACATGGTATAGAAAGGCTTAGATTGAGACGAGAGCTGGTGTTGTGATTGTAATTCTGCTCCTTTAACTCTGACCCGTCTTAACACAAGTGAGGTGCAGCTACTGTTTATACTGAGTGATGACTGCACAAATCACTGGGCCGTGATTAGAAAATGATTTTGAGTTTGCTGGATGTTTTCTTGCTTCAGTTGCCTTTGTGGTCTGTTGAAATGAAACATCTGTTTTGTTGCTACACCTTAAAAAACGTTTTTAAGAACTTCTCCATCTGTATCCTAAGATGATGCCAAAACCTTACCAACACTCTCTAATTATCAGTCACCAGTCAGAAATCATGTGAGGCCCAGCTTTGGTTTTCTTATCTGGTTAGTCATCAACATTGCATACTATTGTGAAAGTGCTTTAAATTGCTAATGTTATGAATTTGTGTTGTACACAGGGACATTAATATTTGATCCCCTGCTGTATTGAAATTCATTTGTATGGTAGTTTCATTTTAATTGAAAGAGACAGAAATCCAACAAAAGTCCAGAAGAAATTGCATCACATAAAAGTTATTGACTTAAATTTCACTGAGAAATTTAAGTGAAATTCTGGCTGGAATCCCCTGGAACCCAGCCAGAATTCTCCCAATCAATCAATCCACCATTGTGGTCAAGTCCAGAGAGCTCCCAGAGGACATCAGGAACACGACTGTAGACCTGCACAAGGCTGGGATGGACTACAAGACCATCAGCAAGAAGCTTGGTGAGAAGGTGACAGGTGTAGGTGCAATTGTCCGGAAGAGGGAGAACTCTAAACGGCCATCAGTCATCCTTGGTCTGCAGCTCCATGTAAGCTCTTGAATCATGGGGTGAGGGTGATCATGAGAAGATGGTGGATCAGTACAAAACTACATGGGAGGAGCTTATTATATTATATTAAGTATCTGAAGCCAGTTGGGAGCACAGTCACCAAGAATACTGTTGTTAACACTGATGGATGTATCCCCCTCCTCAGGAAGGAATGTATACAGGCCATCTTAAGTTTGCCAGTGAACATCAGAGATGGTTCAGAGAAGTCTTGGGAGAAAATGCTGCCATCAGATGAAAAACAAGTTGACCTCTTTGGTATCAACTCAACGCACTGTGGTTGGAGGAAGTGAAATGCTGAGTATGAAACATTTGCTTTGGAGCTGTTTTCATGCTAAGGGTGCAGGATGACATCATGATGCAGATGGATGGGGCCCACTTCTGTTAATCTTAAGATGGGTCATCGATGACTCTTCCAGCATGACAGTGACTCAGAACACCAAGGGAACAAAGGAGTGGCTAAATAAGAAGCACATTAAGGCTGAGCGGCGTGCCTCCAGATGTCTTCTGTGGTTGCTTCTTGGTTTTGTTTCTTGCACTAAACAACACATTCCTCATCATGCATTGAAAGCCTAGGTTAGTTTAGTTTTTTCCTTTGTTTCTTACATTCAAAATAAACAGTGTTTTAATTGGGATTCATTTGGCATCTCCCTTTTTGTCATGGCTGTGGAGCCTGGTTTGTGACAGTATATCAGAGGGTCAGCTCAGATTGTGCCGTTTGGAGGCAGAGGTACAGAGGAAAGGGCGAGATCGATTGGACATGTGCAGAAGAGGGATGGCGGATAAATTGGATAAAGGATGCTGAAAATGGCCCTACCAGGCAGGAGGAAAAGATAAAGACCACAAAGAAGACTCATGGAAAGAAGACATGAAGAGTACTGGTGTCACATAAGAGGATGTAAGGGATAGGCAAGTTGCTGTGACAACAGAAATGGGAACGATAGAAAGAAGAAGCAAGTGACTTTACTCTCTATGACATTATCTTAACTACTCTGATGCAGTTTGACCTTTTAAAGAAAACTGTTTGTTCTCCTGTTACTTTATTGGATTCGTTTTCATCTATAGCAGCTCCACTCTGTGGGCTTGTTCTCATTTCAAGGCACACAGTAACCAAACAGGTACATTTACACCCCTTTAACTAACTGTTTTTTTTAACCAACGTACTCTTTTTCCCTGATTCCAGATTTATTGCTTTAAGTGACATTTTCACCAGCTGCCCTGACACAGCATTAATATTTAACCTTGTTTTTTAACCAGTCCTTTAAAATGAAAGCATTGGTTTCAAGTAACTTGAACTGCTCTTCACATCTACCCCCTGGGGTAGTGAGTGGGCATCACTGACTTTGAAAGCAATATGTTCAGCAATCACACGTCTAAATGTTACCAAACACACTGAGATAGCAAATGATGTGTTGTTGGGCTATTTTAAACATGTTTCTCCTCAGCCTGCGAGCGAGGATTTTATGATTATTATCCATCCAAACTGGTTTAAAGAGGGACTCAAGTACAACAAACTTTAATAATTATAATTATGAAAATTTTGTCAGGTTGTGATTTATTTATTTAATTAATTGGGCAGGTGTTAAAGGAAAACCTGCACTTAATATGGTGACACTTTTTATTCAGAATCAGCTTACAGAGGTTTAATTAGTTCAAGGATTCGTAATGAGCAGAAAAAATTGTTCATGGTCATTATTCTGAATCTATCCCGCTGTATGAAGGCGATGGCTAGGATTATATAACTCTACTTACTGTACAAAAAAACAAAAGGCGACACAAGGTCTCAACTGACCATCGTGTCCTAAAATGACTGAAGCTGACTGTCAAATTCCCAATCTGCCCTGGTCTGTTTTTAAGACACTAAAGCCCTCTATTCATGAATGGAGGGACTCAGCTCATCTGTCAATCCTATATTTTCTGCTCGTGCCCAATATCTGTAGTGGCTTCATCTGCCCTCCACTCACCCTTGCACTTCTAAATTAATCAGGAGATTAATGAATGATGAGTGAATGAATAATTAAAGCAGGCCTAATGCTGTGGCCAAATAAATATAGGCTAAAGATACTGTTTGAAGACAGTTATTTAACTTTGACAATTTGTGGCTGTATGTCTGCATATTTATTCCATAAAAATCTAAGACAACTGGTTTAAACATCATAATGATAGTAATAATAACTAAAAAAAAAAAAAAAAAAAAATCCCATATTTGCTAACGATGCGGAATTTATCAATGTGCAAATATTTATAGCTTTAAACGTTTCTTCTGCACGGGTGCTGGAAAATGTTTTGTGTAAATGTTGGTAATCATGGCCCTCTAGTGGTGACAGTGAGAAAGTCCTCAAAGACAGAAATCATGAGTGAGAAATAATTCAGGTTAAGAAAAGTGAGATTTGAGAAGTTGAGGGATCCACTGTGGACAGCCAGACCCAAAAGAGGCGGAGTGACTGTATCATGAATCGCTTTATTTCTCAAATGTACTGTCACAGTTTACAACACAACTATACATTTTAATACACAGCAAAATAAATTCATTTCATACAAAATTAAATCTGAGAAATAATAGTCATGTGAAGCTAGACTGTATTCCAGTCTGTTTTTCCACCAACGTTCACATATTAACGAGTCAGTAACACAGTAAGGACTCGTACAGCCCATGAAGCACAAAGCCATGTGATCCCTTCATCAGGTTTGCCTGCTTCACTGTGGCTTTAATTTACAGTTTTCAAAACTAATAAATGATGATGATGATGAATCCTGCTACCATTTAAGTTTTCAAAGTAAAATGTAACAAGAAGAGAAAATACAACCATTTAGTCTCCTTTCAGATGTTTGTGTTGAAGTAAATGAGGAGCAAGTACACATACACGTCCGCTCAAACAGCATACACATTAAACAAGTTGATATTCTTGAACTCTGTTTTTAATTTCGCCAAAACGGTATTTCAGTTTCTCCTCAGAAAGAGCCGGGAAACCAAGAAGACAATTACACAATGACTCAAAAATGTCTACAGAGCTAAACGGGAAGATGAAGCCACCGTTGGTTACCGAGCTGATTCACAAAGAAATATTTAAACAACCAATCAGATTAAAGTCAGTTAACATCACACGATCAATACCACCAGGCCAGCCTGCCTGAAATGAAAGTTACACCTGACCTTGGATCTTGTTGGATTTCATTGCTGTGTCAATAATTAACCAAGCAATAAATTAATAATTAATAAATAGATCAATAAATAGTTACTTGTGATTGCAACACTCTGATATACAGTACAGTATATTTCCAGGTTTACTTGTAAATACTTCCACTATTTACATCAGCAAAATACTGCACACACACACACACACACACACACACACACACACACACACACACACACACACACACACACACACACAATCCTACAGTGACGCATGTCCCAGTCAAAGATTTACAGGTCCTGTCACAACACTCAAACACACCGAAAACTCTTTAGGATTTCCACACAGACACACTGAGGTGCTCTCCGTTTGTCACACTTGTGCAGGGAAAGGAAAAAATCTAATAAATTCATTTTTAAATAAGAATTACATTGCTCTTTTTTTAATAATCTGTGTATTTGTTTATATATATTACGCTGTACACATTGTGTTTGTATATATTTGATTCATGGGCAGCATCTTGAGTTCAGGGGAGGTTAGTGTAAGCTCAGGAATGAAAGGGTTTTTTATTAAAGCATCATTAGGTGGTTTTGCATGTTTATGCTTCTAAATATGTATAAATATATACTCACCACTTCCCATTATCAATACACCACTTTTGTCGATTGTTTCCTTCTTTCTAGAAAGACACAGATGTAAGTTTACCATGTCAAATATTTAGATTGCTTCGTACATGTTAAGTACTGTCATTTCCTTCTGGCTAAATTCAACAGCACTTTGACAACCACGCTTAGAAACATAAAAACTGCCACGTATACTATATATTTGAATTGTGAATGCCAGCTTCCACGTGGTGAGCTCTGAACAGATAATCATCCTGTGTGTTCATCACTAGGGAGTGTAGATGTGCGTCCTGTCTCCTGCTCTTCTCAGGCAGCTTGCTTGTCCAAACCAAACAAAAGCATATGATTCAGTGAGAATGTGTCATACGTGGGCTCTTGTGCTCTGTGCTAATTCTCAGCCTAGTTCTGTATAAAAATGACTCACGTCTCTGGAACTCTACTGGAGGGATGAACTCCTGTCTTTTAAAGATATTGCCTCATTTGGTGTTTTGATAATGGCGGTGGAGAACACCCTCAAACATGCTGATCTAGATTTGCCACAGCAGGTCACTGCAAAGGCCACATCACATGATTCACATCAGTTTTACCTTTTTGTGACCCCTTCTTATCTATGGAGAACAATGTCTTCCTCCAAGGCTCGACAACCATAAAGATAGAAATTTCCATTACAGGCTAAGGTGATTACTCAGAACAACTTTGCATTGGTTTGGGGGAAAGAGACACTTCAAAGTAAGGTTCAGATATTTTGCTCTAAAATTGATCCTAATGAGAATGCATACACTAAACTGTAGCACTAAACATGCAAAACTACCTTTTTGGTGATTCCAGAGATCCAAATTACATGTCAAGTTGTCAGAACAGGAATGGATTATTTTTGTTCACCATCTCATCTGACCCGCTGCCTGAGACGACTTCAGCGCCAGCCTGTGGGACGGAGCCTCTAAATTGACCGTCACCTGATGGGTGATTTCCTTGAAAGACACCTGAGTGAATCATTCCAGTTCCCATTAAGATGGAGCCTGGATATCCAAACTGCACCATTCCCACTCCTCCAATGGGGGAGTTAATGTTGTGTCCTAATTGTGGACTCTCATTGATATAAATGGGATGTATCATTTGTGTTTCTGGACCTATCTGAGATGCCTGAATCATACTGATGGAAGAATTAGACATTTCCAGAGTATTCAATGATGCTGAAGGATTGTTAGCTCCAAAAGTGGGAGTTGGTGCACCATGGGGGGAAGCTATGGTCGAAATGAAAGGGTTGGAGTATGAGGGTGATGTTTCAGCAAAAGCTCCTGGTTTTAGCAAAGGGCTGGATGTCATGCCCGCTGTTTTGAAAGTGCCTGGGAAATCAAGGAGAGTGGCAGGAAGATGGAGGGTTGAGGGGGAAGGACGGAGGGAGGGAGTTAAACACAGTTTGAAGAATTCCAGTAAAGAGAAAATGTGCCAAGGCAGAGCAGAGAGAGGGGTGAGAAGGGTTATACATCTGCTGGTTAATGTACACTAGTCTTTATACAGAGTAACTTCACTAATGCTCTCTCACACACACTAATGTACAGAACAACATCTACACACTACAGCAAGGCCACAGGGGCAGGAAGGGGAGGTAAAACACACGACCACAATAAGTTTCTCCATACAAACCTACTGATAAATATTAGCCATCACCCCTCTCATCTTATCTTTGAATGACTTCAGACGAACACAAGTGGAATGCATTTTTAAAATCAGCAGGGAGTGACTTTCATTTGTCAGGTCTTCGAGGGTGTTCATGCATCCGTTTGAGTCAAGCGCACCACAAATATTTCCACATGATGAATTTGTCAGAAAAGTTACTTTTCACCCAGACTGACGCGTCATTTTTTCTGTCCTTACCGATGGCTTGTGTTTGGGCGTCAATGAGAGGGCGCTGTCTGGGTTTAGGGTCAGATGAAAACAGATCGTCCAAGTCAACCAGTGATGCCTCTGCTGAGCCCAAGAAGGAAGCAGTCTTTCGATACATCGCGTCTTCCTGCTTCGAGTGCTTTCCTGCAATAAAATAAAGGTCCAGTTCTACTCTAAAAGGTGTTTTCTTTTGGGGACAGGTCAGGGAAGAAGAGAGAGCAAAGTGGAAGAGAAGGTTAATAGATTAAGACTGTTAGGTGACTGCTGACTGACGGGGAAATGAGGATGAAAACAAGGAAAATGGTGACAAGTGCAAATCACCATGTATGGACACAATAATGAAGGTTTAACGAGTCCCCACTTTCAGGATATTAATTAAAGACAAGCCAAACATTTAGTCAATTAAATCAGAGCAGAGTGTGTTATAGGTGATTATACACAGACAATCAGTGTTTGCTCATGGGAATAATGGATAAATGACACAAACATGTATTCAGACAGTGTGTAGAATGTGATGTACCTGTGCCATTGCCACTTGTGTTGCTTGATGCACCCCAGGGGTCATTGGATTTAGATGCTCCATCTCCAAAGGGGTCACTAGATGGGGAGGAGTCTAAAGGTGGAGCAGGTGCACCCCATGCATCGTCTGTACTGGCAGGAGCCAAAGCTAGATGAGTAAATTAAACAGACAGGTTCAGGTGATGGAGAAATAAATGACAGAATTAACTCCTCTGGTTATTCCAGAGTTTTGGACCATGCTACTCAGCCTTCTTCAACAAAGACATAAAGGTGCCACATGTGATGTAAGTACAGAAATTCAGTCACAGGTCTTTCTACAACTAATAAAAATCAGTTTCCAAAATCAGTTTTCATTCATGACTGTGTAGCCACATCAGACACCACCTCCATTGTCAAGTTTGCTGACGACACTGCTGTTGTGGGCCTGATCTCCGACAACATCGAGAAGGCCTACCTGGAGGAGATTAGGAACCTGGAGACCTGGTGCCAGGAGAATAACCTCCTCCTAAACATCAGCAAGACTAAGGAGCTGATCGTGGACTTCACTACAAAGCAGGCGAGGAATTACAAACCCCTCATCATCAGTGGCACCACGCCAGTGGAGAGAGTGGACAGTTTCCGATACCTGGATGTCCACATCACTCAGGACCTGTCATGGTCCTGTCACATCAACACCCTGGTTAAGAAAGCCCGTCAGCGTCTCTTCTTCCTCAGAAGACTTAGAGACTTCCATCTGCCACTGAAGGTGCTCAAGAACTTCTACTCCTGCACCATCGAGAGCGTCCTGACGGCAAACATCTGCACCTGGTTTGGGAACAGCACCAAGCAGGACAGACGAGATCTGCAAAGGGTGGTGCGCTCGGCAGAACGCATCATTCAATCAGAGCTCCCTGACCTGCTGTCCATCTACACCAAGCGGTGCAAGTCCAAAGCTAGGAAGATTATGATGGATCTCTCCCATCCCAACAATGGACTCTTCTCACTGTTGAGGTCTGGGAAGTGCTTCCGCTCCCTTAAGGCCAAAACAGAGAGAATGAGGAGGAGCTTCTTCCCCCAGGCTATTCAGGGCCTGAACCAGGTGTAGGACTGGACTCTCCCAAACACGTCACTATAAGACTGGACTCTCACACACGTCACCACACATTTCCTATAATCCTATAATTCCTATAATTTATAATCCTTATCTTTATAATCTCTTCTGCTATTTGCACATTCTTTACTGTAAATTCCTAAGTTAATTTGTAAATTTTTGTAGTAAAGTGTAAATTGTAAATATTGTAAAACTTTTCTTCTGTCATTTAATGGTCGGGCATTGTACAGCTACAAGCATTTCACCCCCATGTCATACTGTGTATGGTTGTGTGTGTGTGACAAATAAAATTTGAATTTGAATTTGATATGCCTTTTTGTGAATGTGTGCACTTTAAAGTGCCATGTAAAACTCCACAGTGGAAATGAAAGGCATATACACCTACTTACAATGCATTCTCAGTGCAAGGAGTGGTGAGCACAGCAGCCCCACCCACCTTCTGTTGATAAGGGTCAGCCAATGAAAAAAAGTTGGCATCTTTTTTCAGATAAGTATAACAGTCATTTTGAACTACGACTAATTCAAACCGGTTAGAAGTTAGCAAAATTCTTCAGCTTTACGTTCTGAGAAGTACCATCCATATACAAGTATTTATTTGTTTGTTTCTTACCTGAAGGCCCCCATGGGTCATTGTCTGCTTTGGATGCATCTCCAAATGGATCAGAATTACTGGTAGGTGAAGAAGCACCTGCCGTGGTCCCCCAGGGATCTGACCCGGTGGCTGGTGGAGAAGTGGCTGGGGCTCCCCATGCAGCTGTGCTACTCTGAGGCGAGCTCACTAGAGGGGCATCGAAGGGATCTGTGGCATCTATCTTTGGTGGACTGGATGGTGCTGTGAATGGGTCTTCTTTAGGTGGTGTTGTTGGTGCAGCAAAGGGATCTTCCTTGGTCGGTTTAGATGTTGTGGAGAAGGGATCCTCTTGAGGTGGAGATGTTGGGGCAGCGAAGGAGTCATCTTTTGCATGTAAAGATGGTGTAGAGAACGGATCCTCTTTGGGTGGTGTTGTTGGTGCAGCAAAGGGATCTTGAACAGGTTTGGTTGGCACTGAGAAAGGATCTTCTTTAGGTGGTGTTGTGGGAGCAGTGAAAGGGTCCTCTTTCCCTGATGACGGTTCTGCAAATGGGTCCTCTTTAGGGGGTGTTAATGCTTTTGCACTGAAGGGATCATCTTTTGGAGAGCTAAATGGATCGTCTTTAGGTGCATTAAATGGATCATCTTTAGGTGCATTAAATGGATCGTCTTTAGGTGCATTGAATGGATCGTCTTTAGGTGCATTGAATGGATCGTCTTTTGGGGTAATGAAAGGATCTTCTTTAGGGGCACTAAAAGGATCATCTTTTGGGGCGATAAATGGGTCATCTTTTGGAGCTTTGAAAGGATCATCCTTTGGAACATTAAACGGATCATTGTTAGAAGAGCTGAAAGGGTCTGGTTCATCTTTCTGAGCAGCAAATGGATCCTCCGTGTCTTTGGGGGCACTGAAAGGGTCTGAACTGTCCTTTGGGGTGTTGAAAGGTGTTGATGCACTAAAGGGATCTTCCCCATTTTTCGGTGCCGCAAAAGGATCTTCCCCATTTTTCGGTGCCGCAAAAGGATCTTCCCCATTTTTCGGAGCCGCAAAGGGATCTTCCCCATTTTTTGATGCCACAAAAGGATCATCATTAGTTTGATCTGCTGCAAATGGATCTTTATCAGGACTTGTTGGAGCCCCCCAGGGACCACTGCTAGCTGCTGTTTCAGTTGTGTCAGGTCTTGAGGGGGTGCCCCATGGATCTACGGCCTCTTTAGGTTCTTTGGGGGCTCCCCATGGGTCCGTTTTTACTTCCTCTTCTTTCTCTCCTCCCCAAGCATCAGTTTTAACATCAGAACCTTTATTAGCATCCTCCCATTTTAGCTCCTCTTCACTCATCTTGGCCTAGCATATCGTTGCAAAATGGTTAATACAAATAATTCATATGCCATAATAATTTCATATACCAAAATGCTATATGCTGTGGCTAACCTCCATTTAATGGCACAATACAGACGATAGTTGTTCTTAATCAGCACATACAGTAATTAAAAATATATAGCTAGGTTAGACTCTTACTACTACTACTACTACTACTACTATAGTTGCTGGATAGACTGCAGGTTCTTGGACTGAGGCAGCCCTAAAAACCAATGGAGATCAAACTGCAACACATCATAGGAATCTGCAATGGGCTTCTCAATATATAACTTCTGCCTATTGAGATTTTTTTGTTTACTTTAATAAAACAGAAGGCCTTCAAATGTAAACACATTGGCTAAATGTTTGGAGTGTTTCCTCGTTAGCCTACCATTTATCGGCAATGGCTTTTTATCTGAAATAGAGCCTCTTGGCAGCATCATATTGGCGTAATGTTCGATCTTTCTACACCTGTGCACTGTACTTACCCGTCTCTCTGTTTCTTTCTTCTCAGCTTCCTGTTTAAGCCGCTCTTCTTTGCGGGCGGCGAAGGAAGCTGTCAAGTCAGCTACAGAGGGTATGTTGTCCAAGGATGGAAGCCCTGAGGCCCCAGGTACATAACAGGGCTTATAGTTTGGATCCTTGACGTTGTCCGTAGATGATGCTGGTTAGAAAGTAAGCAAAAGAATATAAATGATCAGTGAAGAAAACCTGTTGGAACAACAGTATATAGCAGTGATATAAAAAAAAAAGGCTTACCAGCTGCACTTTTTGATGTCTTTTCTCTGGTTTTGACAGCAAACTCTCTCTCTTCCTTTAGTTTCTCATCGTCCTCCATAAGAACAAGAACAACCTTGGCCTTGTCTCTCACATTTACACCCTAGCACAAATATGGCTACAATAAGCGTTCACTTGGCTCTGACCATTTCAGAAAAATTATTTAAGCCTGAAATACTTGTGCTTGAAGAAAACCCCAATGCTTTTTGCTAAACAAGATCAGAACTATTCAAGATCTAATTTAAAACAAACTATAGCACATGATTAAAAAAAACAAAAAAAACAAACAAGTTTATTCATGCTGTAGAGAAATTAAATGTGTTTGTTACTCTGAAAAGGTTTTCAGTTAGGAGTATCTTAAGGTGATTGAGGCAGCAAACCTAGACTACACTTTCATTCTTGCTGTAAACCTGGTCTGAAGGTTAATGACATAAATATTATAGTACCAGTAACTGTCTTAATGCATAGCATGAAATCCTTTAATGGAACCTAAAAGACTACATCCATTTGACATAATCAGGAAGTGTGTATCACCTGATCTTTGCCATCCTTTTCTACAAAGCGGTACTCTGTGAGAGCTTTGACAATGTAGATGTTGTCTTTCATCTTCAGAAGCACGCGATCATCACCGGTCTTCAGCAGGTACTCCAGGAGTGTCAGGGACTAGGATAAAAAACACATGACAACACAAACTCATTTATATACAATAAAAATGCAGTTTCCTATCACTACAATGCTTCTTGTTTTATCTGCATTAGGGAATAAATAGGACAAGTAAAAAGGAACAAAAAATATTGGTGCAATGGATGAAAGATAAGAAAAACAACTGAAAAGACATAATTTCTCTGGAACTGATGAGCCAACACTGAGTCATGTGGCTGACTGGCAAAGCTGAAATGGAAGCAGTGATACGGCTGATGTTCAGAAAGTAATAACTGCCACTTAATAGACTAAACTGTGCTTTTAAAGAGAAACTAAATATATTTTTGCTGTAAGGTTTTTTGTTTTTTTTTTAAACACTAAATATTAAAAAACTTTACAAAGTTAAATGTTTATTTTTAAAACCTTGCATATTCCTATATAGATACTGTACATGCTACTTAGATGAAGAATGCCTTCTATCTTCTCTGTTGGTCCCATCAGGGGGTCGTGACAGCAGATCAACTGCCTCCATCTCACCCTATTCTCCGCATCCTCTTGTGTCACACCAACCCTCACACCAAGCTGATAGAGGGTTCCCTATGTGCTAGCTTACTGTTATGCTGTTCTACTGAATTCAACTTACACAGTCTGTTTTATTAGATTATTTTTGCTTTTCATTTGATAATGGCTGCACAGGAAACAAGTAGAAACAGTGTTATGAAACTTAAGGGTAAGAGGCTTGGGGAATAGTTGAGGAGTTTAACCAATGCAACAATCCTTTTATTGTTAATCACAAAAATAAAACAAAAGCTGTGGTATATGAGGTTTTACATGCTGCCCTCACTCTTATTCAAACAATCAACACTGCGATGGATTAAAACTCAAACTAGTTCTTTTGTGTTAATTTTATTGATTTATTGTTTCCTGTGACAGATGACTTCAGTCAGTCATTCATGTAGTTTGGAGCAAACTGCAACACACAATCTGTACAGCCATGTTTTGAACAGGCACAATCACACAGACATATTCAGTGACTGTATCGTGTAGCTGTATCAACATAACATGATTTTGCATGTGGTGCATTAAAGGGACATCTGGAAACTGTAGCTGCAAAAAAAAATAAAAAAATAACCCTCACTTCAGATGGGCACCGCATTGTAGAGATGAGTAACAGAAGACAGAAACTGACTATATCTGAAGATGAATGTTTCCCATCTTTTTTGTGAATAAATGGACAATTCCACACTTAACATCTCATCCCCGAAGAATCCAATATATGTCTGAAACCAGCATCTATCCTCTAAAGCAAACCCTTCTTTGTTCCAGTGTTACTCCTTCACCGTCGCTCACCTTGTGGATATGTCTCCAGTTCTTGTCGTCTTTCAGCCGTTTCCAGAGCATTGTCATGATCTCATTACAGGCCACAACGTTGTACGTTAGGTCGGAAATGTCGGCCATCTGAGAGCTGGATGGGCCCCATGGGTCATTGGATGTCGCCTCTCTCACCTGCAACAGAAGTAAAGAGAGTAGAAAGATGCCAAAACAGCTTCAGGAAAGTTGAAAGTTTGAGATGCTAACTTATAAAATGTTAACATCAGGGTTTTGGAGGACTGGCAGCAGCAGGGCATCTCATTACATGAGCCATGCTACCAAAGATGTTTAGTAATCAGTTCTCAAGGACATTATTGATCATGTTTGAGATCAGCATCCAAAAAAGGAGTTCATCTCTATATTTTCTTTGACTCTAAGAAATTCAGGTTCAGGGCTTAAAATTGATGGTTTCTGCTTTGTTTTAATTAGTAGGGTTTTTACTTGAGTAACCCTTTAGTCACTCTAACCTCTTAAAGTATAAGCAATTGTTACCACACCAGACGACTTGAATTTAAAGCTACTAGTGTTCAAACACATGCCAGAAATGTATTATTTGTTGTGCATACAATGATGCACAGACTACATAATAAATATTTACCTTTATTGTCCTCCTAAATTTAACCTACATAATTTTTAAAATATTATTTGCATTACTGGATGAGGTAATATTGAATTGAAAGGCTGAAAACATTATGGTTTTGAGGTCATACACAATTTAAATCTAGCTTCTCCTACCTTGACCTCGGCCTCAGAGTAGTTCTGGACCAGGTTCTTCAGCTGTCGACGGAGCATAGAAGACGTCATGATGTCCGGAGGAGAGGTGGGAAATCAAACCACCGCGATCTGATTTAGAGAAAACATGAGAACAAAGCAAAAGAAAACACAAAGAGTTCTAAAAATGTAACATTTTTGAAATTTTTGGGGATTTCTACATCGATTACCAAGGAAATTTACCCTAACTTTTATCTGAAGCTACATCCACATATACATTTTTTTGCTAATTGTGCATCATTTTTGTAGTTGACGGTTGGTCGATAATGGAGATGAAGCAGAGGTTTATTGTTTTGTGAAAATGCTATCTTTATTTTAGTCAGATTGCTTGGTTCAACATAACTGGTGTTCTGATTGCTAAGACCCAGTAAAATGTTATGTTGGACCAGGAACTACCCAGCTGTTGGCCTATTCAGATCAGTTTTTCATCAGACAGCAAATTGGAAGAAGATAAACCCCATCTTTCAGCTTGTTGCACAATCAGTGAAGCAGCACAAGACTTTGACTTATAATAATGACTGAAAATCTTGTAGATCCACATGTCTAGGAGCATGTGTGTGATAAAAACACTCACAAGATTTGGTGTAATTTGAAGTGCAGCGTCTCTGATGGGCTCACTTTATGAGCCGCAGAGAGTGAGCACTTGGACGGAGACTCAGGTGGAGTTTTTTTTCTATAGTTTCAAACAGCAACACTTTGTTTCTGTAATCACAATCAAACCTTTACAATTAAAAAGCCCATGAGTTGTTTATCAAGCTATTTCTTCAGTAGCCCTTAACATGAAAAGGAGATCCTCCCATCAAACACCTGTTTGTTTTATACACCGACAGCTGTATAATCTATACAAATAAACTGAGTGAGTTTGTCAGTTTTAAATTTGACCGTCCTGCTTCTGTCTTTATAGCAGAGATACCTGCAGCATTACAGGGTGAGTCAAAAGGGAAGTCACAATAGCTCTATGACATTTATTTTCTAAAGCTCAAGTTATTTTATACTTTCCTGTTTTATATCATTCATAAAAACAGACAATATACTAATAAATGATGCCATTTTATATATTATTATTATTATTATTATTATTATTATTATTATTATTATTATTATTATTATTATTATTATAAATCCAGGCCAGGCCTACACTGCTTTTTGAAAACTTCACTCCGACTTGAACAAAATTCCATCATGGATATAAATTTGAGTGACCTCTAAGTTACATATGGGCAACGTATGTTGAACGTGAAATGTGAAACAAATGCAAACAAACAGCAGGGTGCAAGATGCTAGCAGGCAGGGGACACATGGAACGCCATAACCAAGTAGCTGGCAAAGTATACAGGAACATCTGTGCCGAGTATGGCCTGAAAGTTCCAAGGTCAAAATGGGAGACGCCCCCTAGGATGGTCGAGAATGACTGAGCTAAGATCCTGTGGGACTTCCAGATACAGAAAGACAAACTAGAGATAACTAACCAACCAGACATAGTAGTGGTGGAGAAGCAGAGGAAGAGGCCGTAACAATAGTGAATGACAGCAAAATCAAGAAGAAGGAACACAAGAAGCTGGAGAAGTACCAAGGGCTCAGAGAAGAGCTCGAGAAGTTGTCAAGGGTAAAGGTAACAGTGGTCCCAGCGGTGATCTGAGCACTTAGTGTAGTGACCCCCAAGCTAGGCGAGTGGCTCCAACAGACCTCTGTCCAGAGGAGCGCAGTCCTAGGAACAGCAAAGATACTGCGCAGGACCCTCAAAATCCTAGGCCTGTGGTAGAGGACTCGAGCTTGAATAATAGACCACCTGCAGGGCCGAGACGGGAATTAGCCACTGTTTCCCTAATGCTTCGCTGAGGCATGTTAATGCCAAGTTTTGCCTTGTCATTCAGTGACAATCATTTTTTATTTGTTGTTATTTCTACAACATGCATCTGCACAAACTTTTTTAATTAATTATTTAGAAAATTCTGTTAAAGTGGATGCTCAATTAGCTCGTAGGCTAAGCAAGTCAAGATATGCTGCAAGGCTAGATGCAGCAGCCCATGGTTGACTCCAACCTGAGGTTATTTGCTGTGTGTCCATGTAATCTTCACTGTGCTATTAAATGAATTCAAAAAAGCCCCCAAACTAAAAAAAAACAACAACTAAAAAGCAGTCTGTTAACGCTTTTGTCAGATGATAGGAATCATTATAGTTGCTAGTGCAGAGGCAAAACTCTTACATAAAAATCTAAATGTCATGCATGGTGTAGATGCCACAAATGGAGAAAAACACTGTGAAAGACACAGTCAAAGAACTGCTCTTTCATTCAGCTATGAATACTGGTTTCCCTTTGAGCCCGAAAACCCCCCCCAAAACCCTTCAGTCTGCAGCTGCATATAAAGTTATGTTTTTTTTTGTACTTCACTCTGGACCAATACAACTCTGACCTACTGGCCTGCTTTTTAATCTACAACTCAATTGATTTTGACGATGGCAATGCCACATATAACAGTAATCAATACACAAATCATATGCAATGCAACTATATGTTCTCGCGCATGAACAACACAGTGACATACCTTCAGTAAAATCGTCCTCTGTTGTAAAAGTCTAACTTTCGGTTGTATTTGTGCAGCTCCTGGCTCAGTTAGCATTCATCCTGCTGATCCCCTCTTCCTCCTGCCTGCATTGGTTTGTCTGAGGATGTCAGAAACCAGATCCTAACGCTGCAATGAGAAACCAGTCAACATATAAAAGAGCTGACCAGTGGGAGGTACACATAACTGACTGCAAAGCGTAAACTAACCTAATGTAGGTGACAGCTTTGTCACTGCGACAAACATATATCCCCACCTACGTTAGCTCAGAATCTAGCTGAGCTACAAGCTAGTTAGCTACCAGGGCATGTTAGATAAATTTTAAGAAAAGAAAAGATAAAATTGCATGTTTAGCGCAACTGGATACTTAGTCTTAGGATACGCAGTCGTGGTGTTTGTAACAAGAGTCAGGGTAGGTGTTTTCAGGACCTCGGAGAGCGACTGAAGACGGTCAGCAGGCGTCAATATGGCTAACAGCCAAGCGGTGTTGTCAAGGCAGCGAGCTCCATCATAAATATCCGATTTTAGTGTTCAAATGGTGGGATATATTCCACGAAACGTCCCCTGCTTTTAGTTCAAAACTACAACTGACGTTTTGCATATCAAACATGCATATTTACAGTAAAAATAAAGCACTAACCATGAGCAGATATTCAGGAATCTTCGAGGAGACGACACGACCGGACGGTTTCCGCTTCCGCAGTTTTCAGCACCTGCCAGGCCACGCCCCCTCTCAAAATTAGTGTTATTTATGTCTTTATATATTTATTTATTCATTGATTGATTTAAATTCCCAATATAAACAATCTAGTTCTCTTTTGTGCCAAAAAATAATTTTCTTTTTGTTTAAAATTTAAAATATCATTCAGTTTTATGGTAGTAAAGTATAATTTTTTTTCTGTTGCCTACGGTTACGGTCTAAGCTTTAAATGACGTCGTGTGTCAGTTAGGTCCCCCTGAACCATACACACATACACACATGCATACACACACACACACACGCATACACACATACACACACATGCCCCCGTTTGAAAAGAGCTGAATAAATGAGTCACTACCACAACTCCCACATCAATAACAGTTGGACCAAGATGGCGGCCGAGGGAGAGTACGAGTCGATCCTGTGCGTTAAACCCGATGTCAACGTTTACCGTATCCCGCCGCGAGCTTCAAACCGAGCGTACAGGTAAAGACACACCAGTGTCTCGCTGATGTTGCTGTGAAATGCAGTTTAAATGCGTTTGTTGGGCGGGTTTGGGTGTTGTACTTTAACTGCTCGATAGTCAGCGCATGCTTTACAAATCACGGAGGGACAGTGCTGGCTTTATGCTCTGATGTCGGAAGCAGCTGATGAGATGAAAGTCCATCTCCAGGTGTTGTGAAGATGAAGAGAGGCTGAAATGTTGGTTGTTTGGTGTGCGGGGATTCGCTGAGCTGTCAGAGATGTGACCGGGGGTATTTGTCATCATGCTGGCTCGATACGGGCGGCTTGCCAGGATAGTCCCACTCTCCTCTGTGACAGCTGGGATGTCTTCTCCACAAACTGTTCAGGCTCTTCAGTCTGAAATCTTCTGTTTGCTTTTAATTGATCCTTTCAGATAAAATCTTCAAATCCATCCCGCTCTGCTGCACGGCTGTATTAACTTCCTGGAGCCGGGAAAAGATGTGCTGAAGCACTCCTTTCTCCCTGCACCTGTTCCCTGAAACCCACCAGATGAAATTATTAGCTGATATTCATGGGATCCTGCTTTTTTTTTAAAATATGTGAACATTTGCTAATTCCATAGTTTTCTATGTTAGTCACCTTAACAGCTTTTGTTTTTTTCAATCTAAGTTAATGGTTTTTTATTTAGGAATGAAGAAAATTGTTGGCTGCAGCCATGATACCTTCACGTACAACCATGTTATGGAGTTCTCTGTCCCAGTCACAGAAGCAATTAAATCAAAGAGTTCAAACACTTTTTTTTCCCTAATAATTGCATATAGCTCTTTTAAGCTAGAATAATCCCCAAATTGTATCTCTACAAATTAGTATTTACTATTATCATTACTTATCTAACAGTTAATTAGTTCATACTTCTAAGAAACATGCCATTAATAAAAAATCTTTTTAAATAAGTCTAATTTTTATAGTGTAATGTCTAAACAAGAGTTGCCGTAAGGCGCTTAATACTGTAAGGTAAAAAACCTTACCTAACCTAAAATTGAAAATAAGGGAGCCATCTGAGAGTAAAGTGCTCTGTTGGGGTGCAGTAAACAGTGGTCATTAAGATCAGATGGTGATTATTCAAGACCTCGTATGTGAAGAGAAGGATTTTTAATTTGATTCTGGATTTAACAGGGAGCCAGTGAAGTGAAGCCAGAATGGGAGAAATATACTCTCTCTTTCAAGTCCCTGTTAGTACTCTGGGTACAGTGTTTTGGATCAACTGAAGGCTTTTTAGGGAGTATTTAGGACATCCTGATAATAATGAATTACAGTAGTCAAGTGATAAATGCATGAACTAGTTTTTCAGCATCACTCTGAGACAGGGTATTTCTAATTTTAGCGATATTGCCAAATGCAAGAAAGCAGTCCTACATATTTGTCTGTCATGCATGCTGATGGAGATATCTTGGTCAAAAATGACTACAAAATTCCTGAAGTGTTACTGAAGGCCAAGCCGAGTAATGTGGAATAACATGACTCTAAGAGGACCTTGTTAGTGCACCCCTCTACTGCAGGTGTAGAAGAATATCCGACCATAAATTTAGTAATAAATTACACTAATTAAAAATAATTTGAATTGATCACGCAACACAAAAATATAACCCAAAACAAAATCTCTGTTTAAAAAAAGGTGACGTGTAAGTGTCAGCTTTTACCATCCTTTTTGTTTGTGAGCCAGAGCTCCAATGTGTAAAATAAATGCATATTTTCAGTGTAATCAAAGTAATTTGCTTTGTGATTCTGGAACGTCTAAAAGGGCTCTGGAGATAAACCAGGAGGCTCAAGATTTCTTTTAAAGGGGTACGAATGGAGGAAAAATGGGCCCATTTTTACCCATTTCTCTGTAAAATGCTCTTACACTTTCAATAGTATTTTAAATTAAACTGCTAAAAAGTAAAATTACTTTTCATGACATAACCACATTAAAGCAATAACCTTGGATTTTTGCTTTTACAATTAAATAAATAATCCCACTTTAATATGTGCAGCCTCCACTAATGGTTTGTGGCTCCTGAGGCAGCACATATTAAAACTGCAATAATGAAAGTAAATGAACACCTAAATCAAGAAATATCAGAGAGAGAAAATAAAGATTCTCCTCATTTAAAATACACAAATCCTTTTAATACCACCTTCAAACATTTGTTAGATGTTAGAAATATAAATTTTCAACCAAATATCACTGAATCTCTCAGGATTTTATTGTTCAAAATAAGCAATAAAAAGAAGTCACTTTGGACTACATATTAGTGTCAGTGAAACAAGTGAAACCTCATTGGACTTTTGTCAGCACTCATGAGGCCACATTATGACCTGAAAATAAATAACTGTTTAAGCAGCCCTGGATTCTAATCATTTAATCTAAAGGTTATTAAATTCTCTAAGAATTAAAAATACATTACAAGAAGCATCACTTCTCTTTCCATTGTCTGTTTTGTAGCTTTATTTGGTGATATGCAAATAGGTAAATGTCTATGCACTCTAGTATGCCTCAAGCCCTGTAATCCACTATGCCAATCACACCTCAAAAGCCAGGTTTGGGTTATTCTTTAAGCAGAAATGTACTGTATTAGTAGCCTGAGTTGGAGCATTTTCCTGATTTCTTTGTCTTGTTTGGAAGCCATTTACAATGTTTTTTTTTTTGTTTTTTTTTTCCTTTAGAGACAAAGCAATTAACAGAGAGAATAACTAACATTTAATTGAAATGTAACCAGACTAACTGATAGTTGCAGCTCTGAAAATGCTAAACTATGTCAAATAATTTCTGCAGGGCAGCTGATTGGAAGCTCGATGCTCCAGACTGGTCAGGTCGAATGAGGATCACAGCCAAGGGCAAAGCAGCCTACGTTAAACTGGAGGACAAAATCTCAGGTATGACATCACTGGGTTTAGCACTTAAAAACTACATTAAAACTATATTTTTATAGTAAAATTGACACCGACTTGCTGTAACGTGAAAGTCACGCTAGTGGTGATGTTTGCACTCAGAATTATGACCCATCTGTGCTGAAGCACGACTTTTCCTCTCTGCATTGTATTGGTTTAACATTCCTCTGCTGTTGCAGGGGAGCTGTTTGCCCAGGCACCAGTGAAGGAGTATCCTGGTATAGCAGTGGAAACCGTCAGCGACTCCAGCCGCTACTTTGTCCTGCGGATACAGGATGACAACGGTGAGGATTTAAGTACCCCGGCAACTCCAGAATATTTCTTAACCTTGCTCAAAGACTTAAATCCTTTCTCTTCTGGTCTTAATGTGAGTTATCATCTCTTACTGGCAGGTCGCAGTGCTTTCATAGGAGTTGGTTTTGGTGACCGAGGGGATGCTTTTGACTTCAACGTGGCTTTGCAGGATCATTTCAAGTAAGCAGGATTTGGTGGTTTGGTGGTTTTAGTGGATTACTTTCTGTTTTTTGTTGACAATCTGATAGCAGGGGATTGAAACATGTAATGTCTGTGAAACACTGGTTATGCCAAATCATCCAGTAGCCATTCTGACCACGCCAGAATTTCCTGAAGTTTCAGATCAAGACACCACAAATAAGCAACCGACCAAAAACATGCTGATATTTGTATGTTCCTATGCAGAATGATATTGAGTAAAAGTAGTAGTACTGCCCTCATTCCCCTTACAGGCCTTCAGCCAGCTGAAGTTGTTCAGAAATGAATATAACAAGCAGCAGAGCTGGGTGCATCCATCCATGCTTCTGCCACTTATCTGGATCTGGGTCGCAAGGGCACCAGTCTAAGCAGGGATGCCTTGACCACCCTCTTCCTACATGCCCACCTCCTTCAGCTCTACCTGGGATACTGAAGTATTTGCAGCCTGCACCAGGAGGCATCTGAGCCACATCTAGTGGCTCTACCCTGAGCCTCTGAACTCCTCCTGCCTCCTAGCTGGTGGTTGTTGGGAAGCAGTAAGCTGAAAAAAAAAGTTTGTTTAGGTTTTGGTTCAACCATACAATATGAAATATTTAAGAAAGGAGGGAGAAAGTCTGACCATTTAAACCAAGTGTTTTAGGGACTCATCAAACCTGTGTGCTAGACTGTTGCATTTAAATAAAGTTTTGTTTAAAATGAGTAAATTCTGAGTGTTTGAGGAATCTAATACGCATCAGATGTACATCCTGTCTTTAATGGTATTCAGAGTATTGATTTTTCTCTTTCACTGTAACTGTCTGCAACACAAGCACTCCACATCAAAGTGAAGTGTTGTTTTTGAGATGCGCTTGTAGAAAGCTGCTGTGGTTGTTGTTAAAACTGCTGAGGTGCATTGTTTATTTCTGTATCAGTGCTGAGAGTGTGTGTTTGTGTGTCTTGCTTCTCTGCAGATGGGTGAAACAAGAGACCGAACTCAGTAAAAATGCCCAGCTTGGGGATTCAGGACCAAAGCTGGACTTGGGCTTTAAGGAAGGGCAGACC